CCCGCAAGCATAGGAAAATAAGGCTGAAATTGCAATGGAAAGGACTATCAACAGACAGAGAGTTCTTCTTCAGCACCTTCAGCCGCCTGTTCCTCTTCCTGATCACTCCAATGCATCTTCTCTATCTGTATGAGCTTTTCATATCACTTCTGCTAAGTTTTTCAGATGATTTTCACTGGTTTACGACATCTTGGATCACTAAGTCAGAGATTTCATGAACTCTTTTCCCCTCCCTTTGACTTCCCTCTCTAAAAAAGGCTCTCCCTTTACAAATGAAGTTATTATATTTTGGAAAAAAGATGCAGTATTTATCAGTTGATTCAGTTCCTCCATGTTTCTTTACATTGTTCAGTTAGTGATTTCATTATTCCGTAGAATTAATTGATCCATTCTTTTTGTTTGGGTAGTCTTCGGTTTGTTTAGCAGGAAATGATGTTGCTTATAACAGAACTCCTGCTTCTGGAGACGATGTTGTCATTGTGGCGTAAGTTTCTCATCTTCAAGTTTATTCTCATTTTGTCTTTAAATTTTCACTGTTAGCTTTAACTGTAAATGCTTTAATGGTTAAGTTGTGTTTTTCAGTGCATATCGAACTGCTATATGCAAATCCAAACGCGGTGGATTCAAAGATACCCTTCCTGATGACATACTTGCTCCTGTTCTCAAGGTAAACTGCCTATCATGACCACTTCATTTTTCATTGAATATTTATACAAAAATATATTGACATAAAAAAGATTAGTTTTTTTGGGTTGCATTTGAATATTAGTTGATTTAGTATACATGTTTGTGATTTTCTAATGCAGGCTGTTGTTGAAAGAACAAATCTAAACCCTGCTGAAGTGGGAGATATAGTTGTTGGCACTGTCTTGGCTAAGGGCTCTCTAAGGGCTATTGAATGTAGAATGGCTGCTTTTTATGCTGGTTTTCCTGGTACTATTATACTCTCTTCATTTTAATATTTCCTTTTTTTTTGACAGATCATTTTAATATTTCCAGTAGCTAAATATATGAGCAAGTTCAGATTTAGGGCAGAACTATATTTTCTATTTAACAATGTTGCTTCCCACATTTCAATATATCTAATATCTATATAGTTCAAATCAATATAGTCATCTTCTTTTCAGAGACTGTTCCGCTAAGAACTGTTAACAGGCAATGTTCATCTGGTCTTCAAGCGGTAGCTGATGTAGCAGCTTCCATAAAAGCCGGGTTTTATGATATAGGTAAAATTTCTAAGTTTGCTTTGCGGTATTTTTGGGTCATGGAAAAAGCTAGGGAAAGGGGAAAGAAATTCTAAGCGCGTTACTTTCTTTTGTTTGACTTTACCGTTGAACATACTTACATACAAGTGAAAGTCAATCATGCTTTAAATTTGTCAACTTTTTTCATATGCTTGAAGCCTTGAATTTCTATCTGTTTTTATTATAGTAAAAATAAATTTATTGAGTTTAAAGAATTTCCTTTTTAAGCTTTACTTTTATCCAAAAATATCTATCATTCTCTCAATTTTACTACATATTTTCTGTTTATGTATTTGATGTTCTGAGATGTTACATTTTCTATAACTGCTTGTATTTTATACCATGTTTTGCTTTGTTCAGGTATAGGGGCAGGATTAGAGAGCATGACAGTCGACAATATCAGTCTCTTTGAAACTGTTAATCCAAGAGTACTAAACCAGACTTCTTTTATTCAAATGTTAATTTTTAAAAAATTACCCCACCCCAGAACACACCAACACACACAGAGCCGGTCCTGACAATTTATAGGCCCGGGGCAAAATACAAAAATAGGCCCCTAATTATATAAGTAGTATGTTGTAAGAATATATTAAAAAAGTTTCATTATCAAAAATAAAATTCGTTACACAACTAAATGTTTTTCTTAATAAAACTACTTGGTATCATAAGTCATACAAAAACAAATTTTTAGGCATTCTTAAAGGAAAATTATCGAGGATAATATCATCTTTAATTTTCGGCTTCTCTGAGGAAAGTTGAAAGTCATTCAATTGTATCTCATGCGTAGCTGTGCTGTTGTGGCTCAATCTATGGATATGAGGGTTGAGGGGTATCTTTGACGGAGTGTTAGAGTATAAGAAAATGATCTGGTCAGAAGCGCCTGACAAAATGATCTGGTCAATTTTTTTGATAAAATTTTGTTAGCATGTTCTTCACAAAAATTAGATTATTTGCACAAAATTTCAGTTTTGAATTCAATTGGGAAGTTAGGTAAATAAATTACAAAAAAACATTGCGCTTTTTAAACAAATATAAAGAGCACTGTTTTTCAATATTTTATTTAACAGACTCCCTGATGGAATTTTAAGCTCAAATTATGTGGACATAATCTACACTTAATGAAAAACATGCTAACAAACTTTCATGAAACAGTTTCATTTCAAAGCACCTCAAATGGGTTTGGCCGTACATAATTCCCGATCAAGCGCGTCTTAGGTGAACATAACTCAATATACATACTACTACTAAATGATTTGTGGGCCCCTCTTTCTGGTGGGCCCTGGGCAGCCGCCCATCCTGCCCCTATATCAGGACCGGCCCTGAACACACACTGAATTATCACAATTTCAGTGTATTGCTCTTCCATTATTGAAAACTCTATGAATGTGTGCTTCTAAAAGGTAAAGACTATCCCACAAGCCAATGATTGTCTTCTACCAATGGGCATTACTTCTGAAAATGTTGCACAACGTTATGGAGTGAGTAGGCAAGAACAAGATCATGCTGCTGTAAGCTTAGTCTCACTTGTCCCTTTCTTTTTTAGTTTTTTTTTGTATTTCTCTTGCATAGGGACTTGTTTGCAAAATGAGCTTACAACTTAAGCTTTCTTTCTTGTCATTAGGTGGTTTCTCATCAACGAGCTGCTGCGGCAACTGCAGCAGGGAAGTTCAAAGACGAAATTATCCCTGTTTTTACAAAGGTTTGATAGTATAATACTACATTATATTGTATACTATGGAGTTTCCACTCACTATGATATCTGAAGCATATCTGAAGCTTTCTAATAATTAAAATTTGTTATATGGGGGAAAGCAGATTGTGGACCCTTCGTCTGGAATAGAGAAGCCGGTGGTGATATCTGTTGACGAAGGCTTTCGTCCAAATGCAAATATGGGGGACTTGGCCAAGTTAAAGCCTGTTTTTAAGAAGGATGGATCCACAACTGCAGGTAATAATTTAACCCCATTTACAATCTTCTGCATAACCCCAATTAGTTTCTGACTTTACAGTAACACATTTTGTGTTGAACTGACTTGATCCATTCCAGGAAATGCTAGTCAGGTTTGTGATGGTGCAGGAGCAGTTCTTCTTATGAAGAGAAGTGTTGCTCTTCAGAAGGGGCTCCCAATTCTTGGTGTATTCAGGTTATTGTTGTCTCTTGAATAGAGCTTTGAAATAATAAGACCTGAATGGCTCTAATGATCTAAAACCTATTCTGTTATATTAAAAATTAATGGAACTAAATTTATGCTTGTAGATATAGTTCATGATGATTGGAAAATAAAATCCATGGGACAGTGTGAAGTGGGAAATTATATGTTTTTCATAAATAAATATTACTTGTACTAATTTAAAAACCAAACAAAAATCAGGAGCTTTGCTGCGGTAGGAGTGGATCCTGCTGTCATGGGGATAGGCCCAGCTGTAGCAATTCCAGCTGCTATAAAATCTGCTGGCCTGGAACCAAGTGATATTGGTTTGTATGAAATCAACGAGGTACTTTCTTCAAAATATCTCAAAACATTTCATTTTTTATCTACATTTCTCAATTTTTGATTTACCGCTCATGTGTTTCTTTGCAGGCATTTGCATCTCAATATGTATATTGCCAAAAGAAGCTAAACCTGGATCCTGAGAAGGTGAATGTCAATGGAGGTGCAATTGCTCTTGGCCACCCTTTGGGAGCAACAGGTAACAATACCCACTCAATGAGTCTGTCTGTACATGAGTCATATTTGTTGAACTGAAGTAAACTGTTATCCACAAATGGTGTTATAATATTATGTCAGGTGCACGGTGTGTTGCTACATTACTCCATGAGATGAAGCGTCGCGGAAGAGGTTGCCGATTTGGTGTGATATCAATGTGCATAGGTAATTCGAAGCCACTGCATCAGTGCTTACATTTCTAAACCAGTCTAGTTGAGAGTAGAGTGGAGCCGAGCCAATTCCCGGTCAACACCCTCCCTACCAGGACCGGGACTGGAATTCTGGATCAGACTAGTTCCGGTCCAGTTTATACCCTATTAGAAAATCTGGGACTGGTATCGGAACCGGTCCGGTCCTATTTTAGAGAAACCATAACCATACTCGGATCATCTAGTACCAAGTAACTGGTCCGTTCCAGTCCCGATGATTTACCCACTCGGTTCCGTTCCTAGTAGAGTGAGGGACATTTTTGTCATTGCCAATCAACCCTTACCTCTCTATCAATCATTTTTGAGTTGCAGGTTCAGGGATGGGTGCTGCTGCAGTTTTTGAAAGAGGGGATTAAGTTGATGGTATCTCCAATGCTAGGGCGGTGATAGCAAGAGGCAACTTGCTCTCCGAGGAGACTACTACTTAATGCTAATGCTGTTACGAGTTTCATAATATATAGTTCAGTTTTTGTGTCTGGTGGATTTTGAAATAAACATGAGCGGACATGTCTGCGCTCTACTACTGATCATTTAGACTAAATGGATAATAGTTTCAGACTTTCAGTACCTTGGAGTTGGCTAGTTGTGAATTGTGCATGCTACTTTACCACTGCAGGTTTCTCTATTTTGGTCCTCATTATTTACAGCCCGTATCTTTGAATCACAGAATATGTTAGGGACATTAAAGAACATTTCCAAGATTTTTTTTTCATAAAATATTAATTTAACGAAAACATTCCAATTAAACAGAAAAATAAATATTCTTTTTTTCCTAAGTTTTCATCCTTCCAAATTCCAATTTTCCTCTGATCGATTTTCCTAGTTTTATGATTTTGATTTTAAAACAGACCCTTGGATCATGGCTATAATAATGGAAGGACATGAGATTTGTTTTTAAAAATAAAAACAAGCATCAATATATATAAATTAGAAGAAGAAAAATTGTAAGAAAAAAAAATATTAGAAAAGAGGGAGTACAGCTACTATATAAGTGTTACACATCTCTGTACAGCAACTGAAACCTTGGTATCTGCTCTGGAGGAAGGGGACAGGTTACAATCAGCTTCCCTTTCATTGCTCCTCTATATATCGCCTACCAATCCAAAAGTAGACAAAATAATCCCTGAGTCATTCAAATTCTCCCATATGTGATATGTACATATGACACCAGTCACCAGAGTGGAGTAATATGAGCGCCTTTGAAAATGTTCCCACTCCAAAAAATGCAAATAACTTATGGAATATGTGCTCTTTCATCACAAGCTTTTTCCCATATATGCACTTCGAAAATCGAAATGCTTAAATGAAAAAGAGTATGCAGGGTGATTTTTCCGCTTAAAAACTTGTATGCCCACACATTTCTTTTTTAGACAAAAAAGTACACTCCTCTAGAAAGCAAGTATACCTACAAAAACAAGTTCATGTATAAGTGCTTTCTAATTTTAACATTAAAGCACTTCTTAAGGTTGGTTTGCAAACGCTTTAAAAAAAGCACTTCTCGGCTTTTGGCTTTAAAAAAGCACTTCTTTTACCAAACACCACAGCTTTTATTTTTCTCGGCTTTCGTGTCAAAAGTGCTTTTACTTTTTCTATTACACAAAAAACACTTATTTTACCAAACACCACCAACTTTTACTTTTCAAAATCACTTTTTTCTCAAACACTGTCAACTTTTATTTAATCACTTCTCCCTTAGTAGTCACCCATTTGATACTTTCTTAAATAAACATAAAAGTATTGTTTTCATGTTTTGGTGTTAAAATAACTTTTGCCATTTCCTGCTAACCCTTTTTAAAAGCTGTGTTCGTACTCACAAAAGTATTGATTTCAATAAAATAATCTGTGCTTGTCTTAAGTACTTCGAAAATATCAATTTCTGCAAACATGCCATTGTCTTACATTCTTACTTCTTAGCAAAGCTGAATGTAAATACACGAAAGTCTAAATAAAATAAATGCAAAGTTGCAACCTGGTAAAGTTACCATTCAAGTATTGAAAACCAAGAAGAAAACCAGAAAACTTTCATGTATTGATTCCATTTGTTCTTAGTTTTTTTAACAAGAACCGAACCAAACCATTAATAAATCATTAGCACGTATGTAGAAACTGAACTGAGTTTTAACCATTCTATTCCGATTGATTTAGGAGTCTTGGGTTGGAAATCCCAACCATAACTTCAGCCATATGCATCTAGATTATTATTAGCATAGATGGGCAGTAAACAGTGCAAACGGATTAGCAAACAACTTCCACTCAGAACATTTACTTTGTGGTTCTAAGTGTATGGAAAATCAACATATTGAAGTATAAGCAAGAGAGACTCAAATCTCATCTTCATTATTATCACTTTGCATTATTATTAAGGTTCAGCAGGAATTTTTTGTAAAATGAAATTGATTTAGGAGGATACAAGGGAGTTCAGAAATCAGTCAATCACATCTTACCTCGACAACATCAATGAAGTCCTGTTTTGTCTTAAATTCTCCTACCCACTTTGTATGATCGGCAGTCCTGCGCACCAGAGACGCACACTTCTTAAGCATTTGATTCTCAAAAGTTCATATCCCTTCAAAAACCAAACACCTCTGTAATCTTATGCGGATCACATGGTAGATTGGTAGAAGAGGCGAAGAGTATATGCAAAATAGCAAATGTAGCTTCTTTCTAATACAAGCAATTACCATCAATCTATCACATGAGTATATTTTTGAAAAAAATCAAAGAGAGCTAGATTGAAATTGGAGGCCTACCCACAATCCATCTTCATATGATGAGCATTGAAGAAGAAAACAGTGGAAGGAATCAAAGTGATGTCGAAATACTTCACGTAAACTTGCACTGCCTCGGAATCAAAATCGACTAAAGCCACCGTCGCGAATTTGGAAACCTCCGCCGCGGACTTATAAAGCTGCGCACAAGAATTCCATCAACCAAATACAGAGCTAAGTCAGCTAACAATCCTTGGGAAATTCGAATCTTTGTCTCAAACAAACAAATCGTAATGGTCTTATATCACATGAAATTAATATCAGTAGAAACAATGAAACGGGTAAAAGTGGTCGTGAGATTGCGTGAAAAATGAAATTGCGATGGAAGGGGAGGCTAGAGTGGAGAGCATACGACGTCGTCAAGCTGGAGGCAGACGGGATCCGATGCACGGCCAAAGCGGAGGACAAGAACCTTGTCGACGGTATCTCTGATGGTGGAATCTACTTCTTGCTTCGTCGTCAACGTTCTCAGAATGTAATTCATCTCCTCCGCAACTATTCTCCCCGGGATTGTTCAGTGTTCGATGCCACTCTTTCGGTGTTTCTTCACACTTTTTTTTTGCTTTTCTAGTAAACGTGTTTTTACTTGAACTAGTATTCTACCCGTGCGAAGCACGGGAAAGTGTTACATACAAAAATATATTGCGCAAGATAAAAATATCAATAACATTAGATGCATACATTAGAGTATCATGTGTAATAATATCAATATAAATGAAAACAACGTTCCTTAAAAATTTCGGAATAATAACAATTTGAAAACAAAATGTCTTACAAATTTCGGAATACTTTCTTAAATACAATATTTGTTGTTACATTGGTATCTTTTCCATATGCGTCACATAATAGCTATTTTCAAAACCGCAGGATTAGTGACACGTGAAAGCGCAACATATAACTCACCTTGACTGTAAACATGATTTTTCAAAACTAATCCAACATTGGACAACGACTGTCCTTGACTCTTATTTATCGTCATAGTATATGAGACAATCAAAGAAAATTGTCTTCTTTCAAACGTGAAAGACAATCTCACATCAGATGGAGTCAAAGACATTCTCAATATCAAAACCTTCTCACCTGCACTCAACCCTGTCAAAACTTTTGCTTCCAAAATATTACCCGTGTGATGCACCGGATGAAATATTTTCTATATGAAAGAGTAGTTTGATGAGACGTTTCTCATGATTTAATAATATTAATTGTAACTAATTGAAAAATCCTAATATAAAACATATGAGTGGTAAGAAATAAAAGATGAATATATTGGAAGTTGAAAATACTCCTGATGGAGTATATGGCCCAGGAACCCCCGGCCCATAGACTCCTACTTCTCCTGCACAAGTCCATTGAGCCCAGGAAACAACTCAGGCCCGAATGCAACGGCCCAAGCCTCAAAGAAGCCCAGAATACGCACTGGGGTGCCTTCGGCCTCCTTGGCCGAAGGCTCCAGAAACTCACGAAGTAGCCCCCTCTGGCACACGAAGCTACTGGGAGAAAACGGCGAAAAACATGAGCCTTCGGCATTACCAAGCCCTCGGCATTTGGGAAGCCTTCGGCTGAACTTAGCCCTATGCCACTCGGGGCCTTCAGCTACACAAGGAACCCTCGGCTACACCAGGAGCCTTCGGCTACACCAGGAGCCTTCGGCCAAACACACTCGATCAGCGAAGATTCCTTTTGGAGACAGCCAACCACCGCATTTAATGCCACGTCACATCCGCCAACCGCATTCAATGCAGTGAACGTACCACTGCCGGTGCCACCCGGCTGATGTGACCCCTCGGCCGTCGGATTACTGACACGTGTACTCTCATCGCATTTATTGCTGCTATAAATAGCCGCCCTTATTCACCTTGTAAAGACACGCTGAGTTCATTTAATAAATCGACTCTCTCTCCTCCTATTTGCTCTGACTTCTCTCTAGTTATTCCTGCAATAACCCCTCGGATAAGATATCCCCCGGGTAGACTATCCATCAACAACTTTTATCACCAAATACAACATTCAGATTCAACTCATTCATGTCATTGCGAGAAGAATAGAAATTACTTCAAATAGGACTAAAACTAAGACAAAAACTTAAAATAGGACTTGCTATGTTTTTTATTCCAAAATAGGACCATATTGGTCATATTGGAAACATACCTATTTCTTCATTCCATTCTTACCCCTCCTTTAAATATGAGTAAAACATAGTCAAAAATCATAAATAAATGTTTAATTCATAATAAATTCAAAATAATTTCAATAATTCGTAGAAAAATAATAAAAAAATTAAGAAAATTAATATCAAATAAAAATCAATTTTTTATTTTTTTTTGAAAATTAATAAAAATAGTAAAACTCCATAAAAATTTTTAAAAAAAAAGATGCCTTTCCCACCGCCTGTACTACCTCCCTGCACCACCACCTCCGATCGGTGTAAAAAAACTCCACTTTTTTTTAAATTCCAAAAATATGACATATTACTCTATGAGAATGCCAACATTTTCATTCTGCCAACATGTATCCTTTTGACGTCTGCAAAAAATGTGGCATTCGTAATATTTTTTGAATTTTTTCCACCAGCAACAGAAGGTCCGCCCGTTAAAAAAATGTCATATTTACTAAAAATTGCCATTTGTTTTCCTGAAAATGACAAAAAATGGCATATTTCTCTTTGAGAATGCAAACTTGAATCATTCTCACTTCTGGCAAAAATATGGCATTCATAATGAATTTGGCATTTTTTCCCCTGATGACTGGAGGTGGTGGTGCTGGGGCGGCAGAGGTGGCGGTAATTTTTTTTCCATTTTTTTTCAATTTTTTTATTTTTAATTTATTATTATTTAAAATATTTTTATTAATTGTGTTTTATTTTTTACGAATTTTTATTATTTTTTATTATTTTATTATGAATTAAAACATTCCAATAGATATAAGGGTTTATATGTCCAAGACACACATAATTGGTCCTATAAAAACATAGTTTATTTTTTGGTCCTGTTTGTGCAAAATGAGTAACTTTTATTCCGATTTTGATAATTAACCCCGAGAAGAAACAAAACGCACTTCCATTCACATCATAACATAACATTTAGAAAATGAGATTTTAGATTAGATGAAATAATTTTAGACCATTCACTTGTTTAGATTAAATAAAATGAAAAACAATATCCATTCACGTACCAAATTTTAATCATAGTATATATACATTTTCAAAATGTGAAAATATTATTTATAACATACGTAATATTCTAAGCAAAGAAAAAAAGCAAAGTAGTCAAAAGCGAAAAAGCACAAACTTCACATACGGACACAAATAAAAAACAGTGTTCCAACCTGACCCTCACAATACTTTTCCAAAACAGAGTATCATGAAACTTCCCTAGCAATAAGCTATTAACAAAAGTCTCTTGATGATTAAAGAGCCATAAAATAAGAAATTGGAAATTAAATAGAAACAATACATCAAAATCAAACGCTCATCAGCTCCAAAAATACAAACATTTGCTAGAAATGACACGTCTAAACCAAAAGAGGCAATACGTTGTGGCATATTGACATTCCCCTATAGACAGTAGTAATGATGTAATAGTAGAAGGCTAAAGCACCTTCAAAGCACTTCCTGTGGACAACTAATGGGCCGACGCTAACTCATCAAACTCCCCTTTGGAAATCCACATTTTCTGGAATGTGCTAAAGAATGGATCCACCAATCCAAACACTGAATTCTATTTCAGGTGGAGCTGGAGATTAGCAGTCACATTAATCTTCATGCTACTGCCTTACTCATACGATCAACCATTCCAGGGAACACAGTAGAACCACCTTTGAGAATATTGCCAAACTACAGACCATTCCTGATCTCTATCCCACTCATAAATGGCTGGAAAAGGACTTCTAGGAAAGAGAACCTTTAATTTCTACTCCAATGGTGATGACAACTCCATCGGACAACTCATAGTTCTCTTCAATAGAAGAACTGCTCTTTGCAGTTTCAAGCTCCTACCTCAAGTAGTAATATACTACGTATACTCATTTTGATTTACGTATATATGCATTTTTTATTTTCCTTTTTTAGCTCCAAAGTTTAAGTGTGTACCAAATCTTTATCGCGAACACAGGTGCCTGAAACACAAATAACAATTAACAAAGTATATATAATTAATCCGTTACACACCTTTTGCAAGCTCAAGCCCATGCTTAAGTGATGCTTTGGTCGCTGGAGGGATGCTAAGGTCCTTATTTATACTAAAAAATTGAAAGTTCAAAAGACACCTAAAAAATTACAAAGACACTTCATTTAACCGTCACGTTTTTCTTAAAACACATGGCTCGAGTTACTCTTTTTTTAAAGGTGGCTCGTATTACTCATGAAGCACCTTTTTTGAAGACAAAAAGGCATCTCAAATATTTCAAAAGGCAGCTCATTTAATGCCACACCTTTTTCCACACGTTGGCAGCACCTATGTATAATATTTGCACAATATTTCAGCACACCTTCCCGCCCAAATTCCCTCACAATACTCCCTCACACTTTTCTGTTTTACTATATATATAGATGCTTTTGCTTTTACTTTTAAAATAAGTAGACTAAGGGAGTGTTTGCAATTGCTTCAACTTTAAAAAAGTGATTTTAGGAAAAGTGATTAATAGTAAAAGTTGGTAGTGTTTGAGAAAAAAGTGATTCTGAAAAAGTAAAAGTTGGTAGTGTTTGGTAAAATAAGTACTTTTTGTGTAATAGAAAAAGTGAGAAGCAGTTTAAAGCACCCTTCTATCTGCTTCCAGCTTTTAGCTTTTAAGTGATTAATTTAAGCAGAAGCTGTCATTTGAAAACACTTTTTTCAACTTTTTTAAGCCAAAAGTTAAAAAGCGCTTTTTTAAAGCAATCCCAAACACTCCTTAAATATTCGTGCGATGCACGGGTATATCTAGAGTAAGTAACAACTTGTTTAAAATTATATTTATTGTAATTGTATATGTTGTATAATTTTTCCAAATAAAAAAAGTAGAGTTTAAATGTTGTAAATTTGATTATACAATAGTAGTTTGTAAGAAAAGGAAAATTTGGATGGAATGAAAAATTGTCAAGCAAGAGTCAAGCAAAAAAATGATGCATCCGGAGCCTCTGCCTTGCTTATCATCATGATAAATGAAACAATGAATGTGAATTGATTGTGTTGAAATTTGAAAGAAAATTATGTTATCTGACGGGACCACCAATGATAATCATGGATTCAAAACCTTTTGACCAATACTTTTTAAGATATAACCTGCACCTCCAAAAATACAATTACACAACCCAATAATAAGCAGACGAGACTCATTACATAAGTCACATGACTGGCCAATGCTCCTCATTAGCATAATAGGAACACGAATTTTTAGTCCCAATTTATGGTTCGATATCTGTGATGCATTGATGATGTTCAAAGACTCTTGCATGTGCACTTCAACAGATTCAGTGACAATGTTGCCTTCAAGTGAACATGAGATGTCAAAATCAAACATGTCTTCATTTCTTTAGGCTTGAGCGAAATCATATAATTATTGAGAATCTAAACAACATCATTTACAGGTGTCAAAATAGTTTTTTTGTTAAACATATGACAAACCAGCCATATTCTTAAAAAAATTGACGGATAAGTGCTAGTAGCAATAATAATTGAAACATAGAACCACCTGAAGTGCTAATAAAATAAAATTTCATCCCAAAATTTTGGAGCCCGTTTGGTAGCACCAAAATCGGCTGTTTTGGCTGATTCTGCTGAAATTTATGATATTCTGGCTGGAGTGGCTGTTTTGGCTGATTCTGCTGATTTAAGAAAAAAATATTTTAAAAATATATTTTATTAATAAATTAAAGAAAAAATTATATGTAAAAATAGCTAAAATGGTCCTCTACAGTAACTTTAGCCAATACAGCCAGAAAAGTAACTCCAACCTTACTTTTTCGGCTTATGACACAATTCAGCGCGCGAAAGTAAAAGTTACGTGTTTGGTGAAAAAGTTGGCTGATAAGCCTGATAAGCCGAAAACAGAGTTCTCCAAACGGGCTCTTGATTATTTATAGTCATCATTGATTCGGCAGAATGCTTATTTTTGCCACTATTTTAACTATTACTACGTATATGCATTAGAGTCCCAACTTTCATCCAAAATATGTAGGAATTTTGTTACTTTATACTCTCTTCATCCCTTAAAACTTTGTCATCTTTCCTTTTTGAGACGTCCCAAAAAAAATTTGTCACTTTCCCTTTTGATCAATTATTTTGTGGTTTCTGTTATTTCTCTTTCCTCTGCACAAATCTCAACCACATAGTTTTTATTTTATTATTCTCTGTGCCGGTCAACTTTGGCAAAGTTTTAAGGGACGGAAGTAGTATAATATAAGGATAAGGATAAACTTTTAACCTTCATATAATTATAATTATAATTATAATTATTATTATTATTGTTGTTGTTGTTGTTATTTTTATTGTTGTTATTGTTATTGTTATTAATACTACTACTATTATTATTATTATATGCATTTGTATTACTGTAGCAATATGGTAAGTAAGTACTTCCAATTTTCATAAATTACCTTTCCATTATGCAATAAACTTTATTTGAGCGGCACTTTTAACGAAGTGAGCAGGGTAAGTACTTATAGAATTATGACAAACAAATTTGATAAACTTGATAATTAAACATTTTATGCTCAACTTGCGGTTCATGATAATTTTATATGGTAGCACTCGATTCATTGATGTTTTTAAAGTTTTGTTTTATTTTTATTTTTATATATTCGATATTGGTGTCATGTGAAAGATAATAAAAAGTTATGAATTTTGATATGTTTTTTGTAACAATCGGAGTACAAATAAAAAAGTTACAACACTTTAAACAAAAATGGAATTGTATTGCTCTCCTTTTTTTGTAAAATTTTCTCTTCTTTGTTACGTAGATAGTAGGGAGTACTTTTTTTTAGAAACATGCGGTTGTCATTTTTTATTTGTTAATGATGAGTTAATACATTACCAAATTTGTTTTTGTCATTAATTCACCATTATGTCTTCATTTTGGGCGAGATTTTCCCCTTTAATTGTGGTGTCAAGACTGTTACTTTATACTACCTCCGGTTTTTTTTAATCTTCACAGTTTGACTTCACACAAAATAAGGAAAGAAATTTCACTTTACTATAGAGTACACTGTTGAGGCACTGTTTGACACTGTTTGGCACTGTAGAGACACTGTTTGGCACTGTTGAGACACTGTTTGGCACTGTTTTGATGTAGATTTCTTTGCCAAAAAAGGAAATAAGGAAGTGTGAAGTTTATTTTAGACCGTCCCAAAAAGGAAAGTGTGAAGTTTATTAAAAACCGGAGGGAGTATTATATAAAGATTAGCTGAATTTAAAAGATTTCAGCCCTTTTTGAGCTGACGTGGCTTGCCAAACATAGCCCAAATTAGACCAAAGTTTTGTAGATATAAAATATATAGGGATCAGATCGGATTTAAATAAATCAAACTAGACCAGCAAATTCCAGTCTAAGCAAAAACATTTGTATGGTGTTTTTACTTGGATTGAAATTTGTTGGTCTTGTTTGTAATTCATCCGCCTGAAATAATCTCAATGACATTGCTTTCGTGTGTAGCAAGGAATAAATACCAAGAAGAAGAAAAAAGAAGGGAAAATCGCATATATAGTCCCTCAGTTATCCATGAAATTAAAATCCTAGACCTGTATTTCTGAGATTGTAAATGACACCCCTCAATTGCCCAAATTGTTGTAAATGTGGTCTTTTAAGTAGTGAAATGTACTATCGTCCACATTGTATATTTCACCCCCCCTCAAAAGCACCACATTTACAACATTTTGGACAATTGAGAGGTGATATTTTCAATATCAGAAATACAGATCTGAGATTTTAATTTCATGGATAACTGAGGGACCATATATGCGATTTTCCCAAAAAAAGATCTAAAAGATTGGTCCATTATTAATAACGAACCTAAAAGATAGAATGTTCAATATATGGTCTAAATAATTGTAAGCTATCAATCTATCTAAGACCTAAAGTATATATGATAGATTTTGATTTTTTTAATTATTCTATTACTAATTTTTTATGACTTTTTCTTCGCAAAAAGTTTATTAATTTAATAAGATTAAATGATATTTCATTTCTTTATACAAAAAAGATAAAAAAAAATCATCATATTTGATATCTTACTCACGAGTCTTCTCTCTTAAGTACATCCATTAATATTTATTCCATGATCAAGTAGATAAGTTAAAAAATATCGATCAACAACAATGACTTATAACTATAATATTAAATTGCATTTTACTTTTGAATTTTATCTTATAGACAACTTTCATTAAATTTAAAAGTTATATTAAATTTAATTTAACAAATATTAACGTGATGGGGCAAACAGTGAGAATGATAATTACTCCCTCCGTCTCAGGGAGAAGTTCCCGGGTTGACTTTCACACATATTAAGGAAATAAAGTTACTGAGGGGTAAATTTTACTGTTTGGCACTGTTTCGACACTGTTTCGACACTGTTTGGCACTGTTTGACACTGTTTGGCACTGTTTTGATGTAGGATAACTTTCCATTTAGGGAAATGAGAACTTTTTGTTGGGATTGCCAAAAAAGGAAAGTGAGAACTTGTCCCTGGGACGGGGGTAGTATGATAAAACTCAGGGATTAAGTAATTGATTTTTGAAAATGCAAGATTGCATCAAGTACCCGAACTTTGAAGGAATGTGAGGTAAACATCCCAAACTTACATATGTAATATAAATATCCCGAACTTTATGTAAAAGTTATCTTAGTACCATGACCATATATTTTGTCTATCAAAAATGTGAAAATCTTTGTTGTTAAGTACACAATTTAAAATAGTTAGCATTATGATCATAGTGCTAACATAACTTTTTATATAAAGTTCGGGATATTTATATTGCATATGTAAATTTGAGATGTTTATCTCACACTCTTTCAAAAGTTCAAAGTTTGGGGTATTTGAAATATTTTCCCTTAAATAAAAATAAATATTTCCCTCGTATTGAAATGTTTGAGACACTTTCATTTTTTAGAAATGCTTTAGTTTTTGCTACGATGTTTGCTACACTTTCTTTTTCTAGATTTATTTTGATTTTTTCCACATTTTCTTTTTTTGGTAAGTTTCCCCTTTATATACATAGTACTACTAATTACTCTCATTTTTTATCTTCTCTTTCATTTTTTTCATCTATCTTTCATATTCTTTTTACATTATTAATTACTCTAACTAATTTTCTCTTAAATATATTGTGTCAAACTATATTGTAGGTATCAAATTAAACATTGAATAAAATATAATTAAACCAAGAGTTTATCCAATATATGTATGTATGAATATATTCATAGAATTAGGACAGAGTGAGGCGAACATGGACGGGAAGTAGTCCAGATTCATTAGTGAATTTGGCCTGCCCTGTGTGGTTTCAAAATGAGTACTTATACAGACACACAACTTGAAGCTGCAGCTCCCACATTCATTCCCACATGCTAAGAGTGCAAGCAACTACTCATCACTTTACGTACGCACCCCAGCCATTCTCTTTTTTTCTAGCTAAATCTTGCACCTCACCCATCCATCTTCTTCAGTTCTTCTAATATATGATTATATAAATAAATAAATAAATAATTACTGTGACTACTTAATACTGCGTAATTATTATCAATCGAAAATCCTACTTTATATTACGGAGTACGTGTATATATTATTGTTTCAATCAATTAATTAAATGTAATAATATTTTTATTCAGATGGGAGGCATGAGAAGATAAAGTGAAGAAATAAAAAGAGTAAGTAATTAAGGTATAGTTGAGATGGAATGGTGTTCAGGAAGGGAAAAGACGACAATCGATGCAACTCCTAAGGTTCCTTCTGGTGATGGTCCCTATGTTCGAGCCAAACATGCTCAGGTATGTTCTAATTTAGTTAAATTAACCTTAATTAATTGTTGTTCTTTTCTTTTAATTTTTAGATTAGTTCTTTAATTTCCATTCAATTACGACTTAATCACACTGTTTTAAAAGGCGAGATCTAAGCGTGAGGCGGCGGATAAACGTCTCGCATAGTAGAAAGGCTTGGAAAACGTCAACGGTGCATCAAGGAATTTGAGTTAGACTGAGCGGAATAGTAATTAGATAAGGTTTTAGATATTGGGGGTGGACTTCATATGAAAAATGAAAAATTTATGCTAAAAAATAAAGAAGAAGAAAACTGCTCTGACTTTCATCCCACTATAACTCATACACAAATTCTCCTTTGAAAAAAGCGGTCAACTGAAGAGTTGACCATCAAAGACGTGCAAAAAACGAAAAAGTAATTTGTTTTTTTATAAATATGAGTACTATGTTTTTTTATCTAAAAAGTAAATATCATTCTAAATTCAATGTAAACCACTTTAACTTACTTTCTTAATAACCGTGGTAGTAAATTTTAGTCTAATTTTTACTTTAGCACTACTGCCCTCATGTCTCAATATTAGAGAAACAAAGATAATACTCCGTATGTTTTAGTCTAATTTTATATGAAATGTGTGTAGTTGGTGGAAAAGGATTTGGAAGGAGCAATAGTATGGTTTTGGAAGGCCATAAATGGAGGGGATAGGGTAGGAAGTGCCCTTAAAGACATGGCCGTGGTGATGAAGCAATTGGATCGATGTGAAGAAGCCATTGAAGCCATCAAGTCATTTCGTGTTTTTTGCCCCACCCAATCACAGGATTCCTTTGACAACGTCCTTCTGGATTTATACAAGGTTATTTTAAAAAAAAAAAAAAACTTGTCTTATCTACAATATACGGAGTATGTATTTAAACTACAAAAACATACTACGTGAAAATGGTGAAATCATACTGCCAAAATGTTCATCGATTCCTAAAGCAGTAAAGCATTTACAAAACAAATACGGAGTATGAAAGTTTAAAGGAAGTTTAAATTAAAGTACACAAAATTTATCGGATGCAACTTAGCTTATCTATAGGTCTTTTGTTAATTTTTGTCATAACTAATATCATACGAAGTAAGAAAGATTAGTACCTTCATTCTTGATTGCAACATTGTAAATTTTACATGATTCACGCACTCTATTTTAATTAAATTTTATTTATGAATGCATTAAAACTATAATTTAAAAAAATATATAACTAAATTGTTCTCATTTTAAATTTTCAAAATGCGATTTTTTGAAAATTTTCCAAATAGAGAATTAAGGGGTGTTTGAAACTGTTCATGCTTTTGCTTTTTTTTTTCTCCTAAAGGTAGAAGCATAATCAGAATCAATTTTTCAAAATCTAGTTTCCCAGAACTTCTAAAAACTGTTTCTATGAGAAATTTGGAGCTTAAACAGTTTTAAAAACTAGATTCAAACACTCCCTAAATATATCAATGGTTAAAGTTATGTGTTGTCAAATGAAAATGTTGCAACTAAAAAGGAACGGAAACATAATTCAATTGCTTTTCTTTCTGCTAGTTATGGTACCTGAATTCTTAAATATGGGAGATTATGAGTTAATTGCACCGTGTAATCTAGACACATTCAATTACTATATGCAGAAATGTGGAAAAGTAGATGAACAAATCACGTTAATAAAACAGAAGCTAAGAAAGATATATCAAGGCAAGGTCTTCAATGGCAAACCAACCAAAACTGCTCGTTCCCATGGCAAAAAGTTTCAAGTTTCTGTCACGCAAGAGAGTGCCAGATTACTAGTATGACTTTTCTCCTCACTAATTAGCTTCTCATCTTTATTTTAATTTTAGCAAATGATAGATTTTAAATGCTATTTGAGTCATTTGTTATTAGAAACATATTCATCATTGTTGGACTGAGCGAGTTCAAAGAATTTTTTCATTTAGTCATGCATAAAAGAAAGTTCCATAATGTATAATTAAAATCTTTTTCAATTTTGGGGTGAATTGCGGTTCAACATGACCGATAAATCTAGAATAACCAATAATTATAACATCAAGGGTAGAGTAATAGAGGGTTGGAAGGAGTCTCGACCACACAACTTTTTGTGGTGCATATACACATATATACAAATATGCACGAGTTATAAAGATATACTCCACACTTCTTATGTTAAAATACTATGTCCACACATATCGATTTGTTTAACATCTACTCCGAATCTCTTAACAAATATTTCTGACTTGACCAGTGTGTAATCCATATATTTTTGACATATATTGTGCATTCCCCACTAAACTTGAAATGGTATGTTTTATAATGTGATTTTTCTTTTAACACATAAGATATTGTTGAATTATCAAGTTCAAAATTATTCAAGTCCATCAAAAGAAAATGTTAACGTTTTAAGGAATGCAAAAGAAAAATTGATAAAGTTGAGGAACAAATGGTACTACGTATTTGCGTGTACCATTACTACTAACAGTTATACGTGTAAAAATGTCGTAGGGAAGTTTGGGCTGGGCCTACATGCTGAAGCACGACTACATAACAGCAGAAGTGGTGTACCGAAAGGCCCAAATGATTGATGCAGACTGCAACAAAGCCTGTAACCTGGTCCAATGCTTGATCAAGCAATCCCGGTACGACGAAGCCCGTTTCTTCCTTGAAGAAATGTGGAAGGGGAGCTACCCGGGTTCGGATGAACCGAAAACCATAACCCGGATGGAAGAGTTGCTGTCCGAATTGGAGCTTATACGGCAGCAGCCCACATATTCCTTACAGAGTCTTCCAGAGCTGGATGATGATTTTTTTAGTGGGCTTGATGGGGTGATGAGTGAGTTGGGTCCGTTAAGGTCCAGAAGGCTGCCCGTGTTTGAAGAGATTACTCCTGTTAGAGATCAGCTGGCTTGTTAATTATATGCAAATTTGCATAACTGTAATTATTAGAGCCTGTTTGTTGATGTAAATATGCCTTAAATAACTTGAATTTACTTTGTTACTTCATTTCTCTATCCAACATAGTCATTATAAAAAAATAGTACAATCGAATTAAATCAGGTTTGATTGCAATCACTATTGCCAAATGTTCACACCTTGGAGGTATTTATAACTGCAAATCTGCAATTAGGAGTCATCATCTCACCCACCATTGTGAAATGAATAAGTCATTACACTTGACAAAAGAAGAGTTTGTTTACACATGATGTTGACGAAAGAGGAGCTAGTTCATGACCCTATATGCACGGGCGGAGCTAGGGGGCAAACTAAGCGGCGACGACCCATCCCAAAGTTAAAAAATTGTTTACTTTTTTATATAACTTTTTTATGTAGGAAAAATTGATAGTGATAACTGCAACTATCGGCGGTTCGCTCATAATAATCTCAACTATTGATTATTCCAGAATAATCCCAACTTTAGGGACCTTCCGCCAATATGGTCCCTGTAAATAAATTCTTGTAGTTTCTAAAGTGGATGAGATGAGATATAGCAAGTAATCCCTATAAATAATCCCAACGCTTAATTTTTACGCTTATATTCTATTCAAAATTCACTTGTTATAGGAGGTAATATATATCTGGTCATGGACAATTATTGGCGGAGGGTCTATATAGTTGTGATTATACAAAACTAATCAAAAGTTGGGATTATTGTTGGCGGACGGTCTATATAGTTGGGATTATACAAAAATAATCAAAAGTTGAGATTATTATTTTCAATTTTTCCTTTTATGTATAAGTGTATAACAATTCTAAAAAATATGTTATTTACCGGTCCAATGCCAAGGCTCCGCCTCTGTCTATAAATTCCTCTTCACTTTCAATATCACAACATAAATCAAAAGAGTATGTGTATTATCCCAAAAGAGAAGAAAGAGTTCTATGGAGGTTACCTTGTTTTTGGGATTCTTAGTTTAAATTTACATCTTTTCTTTCTATACAAAAATAATACATCTTTTCTTTCTATATTTAAGAATATAATAAGTGTTATGTATCACATACTATTATACTAAGTGTTTGAATAAAGATGATGACGCTAAAATTAGAGCAAGAAAGAAGTTTGTAAAGGAATATTAGGGCAATGCACGGTTCTAAACGAGTAACAAAGGCAGACAAAAGACATAAGTACTTTCCTAAGTATGCATATCAGCCTTGCTACATGATGTTGCCAATGTGGACAGTGGACACACTATCATGGTCTGGAAATTGTGTTTGTGACTTCAAGAGAAGAAATAACCACGTGAAGGTAGGTTAATGACATTGTGCAGGTAAAATGTATAGAGTACCTTCACTAGTTATACGATTACACTTTGGTATGTTAACTCTTAATTGAAACAAATAAGTATCATAACCCGTATTTATAAATAAATGTTTCAACCATCCAATGTTATACAAATTTGTAGCCAAAAAATCATAGGTGACAGTTGGGATTCAATGCCTAGAGTCAACTATGCATTACTTATATCCATATTATCACTCTAGAGTGGTCTCTACGCATTGAATTTTGGTTATTAAATGGAATATTTGGCTGAAAATTTGATTATTATAGCTGATTGTAATATTTACATATAATATGGTACCGAATAGTTTCATATAAGAGTGAAGGTATCAAAACAAAACAATATCATGATACTAATTTGTTTCATTTAAAAGTAGAGATGCAAATGGGGCCGATCGGGGACGATTAAAAGTGTACCCCCCCTCCCGTTGGGTATTTTCACCGCCCCGTAACCTCCCCATTATCCAACGTCCAACGAGTAATTTTTTCAAAACCAAACCGCCCCAACATGTACCGTTATAATCGCGAGGTAACCATTTTCTTGAAGAGGTCATTAATAATTTCATACAAAAAATCAATGTTTTTAAAGGGAAAAAATGACATCGTCTAGACGAGGTAATCATGGACGCCACCTAAAAGTCTCATGGACCTACAAAATGAGAAAGAAGGCGACCCAAATTATATTAAATACGAAAATACTTATATTGAAATAATCAAATAAACGAGAAAAATATCAAATAATAACCAAACAAAACTAAACGTTTATTGTAGAACTTTCTATCATGCATTATAGTGAGTACATTGCATTCATATATACACAATGGAGAGGGAAAAAATCCTACCCTTTTTAGGCGTGAGACAAAAAAATAGGAAGAAATGGAACCAAAATAAAAATAAAAATAAATGGACGAGTGAGACAAGTAATGAAACCCACATGTATAAAACCATAACCATCTCATTACACATAAAAATAAAATGATTATTCTCTCTCATAGCTTACTCGATCAATGTGATTTTTTTCATTATGATCGGAATAATTTTGTGCACACATTCATTGAGTCCCCATTTAAGAATTTAAGAGGTAAGATGTTAAAATGAGACAATATGCTAGCACTATGCAAGTAAGTATGCTTTGTCCTTAAACCACCTGTCCATTTTCGCACCCAATTGGGGATGGTTCACTGAGACACTGAGTTTGATCCATGAAGAGCGAGCAAGTTAAGCCATGTAACTTTGGAAGTTTTACCCTGGGAATTCTTAGTGCTTAAAGCATCGTTCGTCTTCTACTTGGGTTATATTGTGCATTTGTTTCTTCTACAGGGAGCGTTAGAGCGGATTAAAACAATCCGACGTAGTTCGTTGCAATTCAGGTAATCTCCTTCTCTATGTGGCTTTTAATCTACCAAACCCTAGCTGCTCAAATATCCATTATTCATGGCATTCTCTTTTTAGCCGTGTAATCTGCATATTGTTGTTCTGTTTTGGACTTTCATTTTGCACACACTGTCTAGAAATATATGTTTGGAAGTGGCAGAGCTCGAATTGGTATTGAGACTTGATAATGCAGCTCTTGTTAGCCATTATGCTTGAACACTACAAATTTCAACAACTGAATATTTCTATAAGTGTAATAACTGGCTATTTTGTGGTTTTGTGCAGTTAACTTCTTCTGAAGGATGGAGTAGATCAGTGAACAATGTGCAATATATATGCAAGCAAACAGTTTGGCATGGAGTTATACATGTAGATAGATATGACAGAATTTGCAACCATCCCATCTAATGTTAAGGTGCATATGAATGTGAAATTGTCAAGACAACGACCTTGTGTGCCTAGAAGTTCACAAATTCTATCAAGGTCACATTTCTTAACTCTATTAGTCTACTAATACATAATTTTCCTTCAAAGCCCAAATGATCGATGTTATGCATCAACATTTCATGATTGTTTTCTTAGTGTTATGATTTTTTTAAGTAAGATTTTTTATTTGTTTTATGACCTTATCACACATCCAATACCTATTTCTGACCTTCAAGAAGTTTTGAAGTGTTCTATGATTTTGGTTTGCAATTATTTAACTCTGATTCATTTCCCATTTCAGAAACTTGTCAATATGGAATGCTAAAGGCTCTTCTCCCCCTCATTCTACAAAAGTGATGGGGGTTGTGAAGAAGAGAAGCTGTCAAAGGTGTTTTTGCTTTAGTTCCTCACTTGATGTTAATGCTGCTATGGCTTATGATTGGGTCCGTAATATGGACCAAATGCTTCTAACAACAAGTATATTCCTTACTTACATGGCTGGAGTAATTCCATCAAAGAAGTCATTTGTTAATCCGGTAGAAAACATCAAACATGATTATGTGTTCCCTAATGACACATCCCTTCTCGGTAGGTAAGAAATTTATCAGAGAATAAGTCAAAATATCAAATGTTAGACCCGATACGTTCTGCATTTTATAGAGTTTTAAATATAATTCTCTGGAATTGCAGTTTAAACAAGAATGAAGAAGACACTAAATTGCAGTTTGTTTGGGATGTAGTGGAAGGAAAACTGTCAAATTCTCTGCTCGCTGTAAATCAAGAGGTGAAATGGAACAATTTTGCCAATGATGTTGAACAGAACAGTGCAAGATGGCCTTCAAGTTTGTCTGCCATAGCTGAAGGTCCTAGGCTACGTTTACTTTGGGCTTCTTTTCAGTTACTCAAGAAAGAGGCAGGCACTGTGTCTGTCTTATCCTTTTAAATTTATGCATATACATCTATTTTGCCCACTTCACTATTAAAACCAAGACGCGAGATGAGAATGATATTGCTTTTATGCAATGGCTGCATGAATCCGGACTGTATAAGAAAAAAGTGGGTATTTAATACTACGTAAATTTCTGATCAAATATTCAAATGAATTTATATTGCTTGATAATATAAAAAGAGATTTTCCCCACTTTAACTTAAAAATAATTGTCTCATTGACGCTAATAGAAAATTTTCATTTCTGAGTACCTATCACAGTATCACATAATATTTTGAAAATGAAGTCTAAATAAGAGTCTTAGAACTCGGATCAGTTTGCCCTTATGCGATCAGTGCTCTCTGCATGAATCACTAATGGTTTGGAAAGGTAATTTGTAGCTTCTTCTTAGAGTTCATCCGGAAATATTAAAATCAATAAATCCAATATTGCCACAAGAGAGTTGTAGGAAAGTCATGATACTTTATTTCTCGGTTCATATTTGTCAAGATGTAATAATTGAAGAAAATAGAAATATGTCAACTTGGTTTTTGTGCTCATATATATTTAAACTAATGCAGTTTGACATAACTTGTTTTTTCAGGTAGACAATCTTTCTCAGAATTCGGCTACTGAAGAAATGAACACAGTTTCACTTTTCAACGAATCCATTCGAAAATCCAGTAAACAACTATGTGTCTCTTGGTTGGAGGAGGTGATCTCCTTGGGGAAGAGCAAAGCTGACAGAGTATTTCATATATCCACCCTTAATTACAATTTCTTTTGTCTTACGTTCAATATATTTAAATTGAATTGCACAATAACTCATAAATGGTTTTGCCTGATATTATCAGAGTCGTATTTGTTCAATGGTTGATACGTTGGATGAGGATGAAGGCATTTTGCAGCTTATCAGAAAGTTGGGCAAGGAGGATCTATACATAGAATTGGTGTCTGTTACTTATTTTGGTTTCATCAGGTTCTTCTCTTGATTATTCTATTCTTGGTCTTATTATTTTGATCTGATATGATTAAATAAGTAAATGAGCATGCATTTCTTTCTAATGGAAGTTTTTTTTTCTTTCTCATTGTTGATCA